TTGACTAATTTCAGTTCTAAACGTTCGTTTAGTCTATCGATTCCTTCCAACGAGGACATTCTGTGTTCCTAGTGGGTGACAGTGTGAGTGAGCGAATGACTTTGAGAGTGTGTGAGTGACAGTGTGAATGGGCAAATGACTTTGAGAGTGGAGTGAGTGACACTGTGAGTGAGTGAATGACTTTGAGAGTGGAGTGTGTGACAGTGTGAGTGAGTGAATGACTTTGAGAGTGGAGTGAGTGAAATGGAAATGGTATGACAATATATGTTGAAACCGACCGGATACATTATCTCTACATCTGATTCTGGTTATACTTAATCTCGATAATCCAGTAGATATGGGCCTTGTAGTGTGTCTAGTCTCAGCAGTTGGGCTAGAAATGATAACATAGCTCTTTCAAGAAAATGTCAGAAAATTACAGAGGCATCATTGCCTACCCAAACAGAGACACAGACAGGCGCTAGCTCTGATGGAAATAATCCAATTTACTTCATAGTGATTCTATTCACAAATCAACAAACATCGCCGGATGTAAAAGGCCATTTTTCCTTTTAATACAGTTTTTGCTTTTGTTTTAAATTTCTTGCCGGAACGCCGATCACGTCTGCCCTAATTATAGTAATTACTGGCATTTCTTGTGGTGGCTCAAGATGTGTGCCCTTAACAGAAGAGCCCCTTTCCCACAGTCTACTCACCATTGCCTCTGTTTCCCTGAATTCACGCCACTTATGCTTGAAGGCAATGATTATGGTAAACAAATTCATTTATGTGTATGAATACAACTCAATGTGACACTCTCATTACCGCAACTCCTACAAATTCATGCTTTTCTCGGCGTGTCCAGATTGCTCATTTATTGCGTGGTGGTGAGCCAGGGTGCTCGTTTACCCCATTGCAAGTTAATTTCCTGCGATCTGCCTTCCCATTTATACGATTAATTCAGGAATTATGTGCTAATTGAAGATGTGTTACTTAAATCAAATAAGGCTGATAATTTGTCATCAATTGATGGCCTCTGACCCGTGCTCGCACCACGCTAAGGAGGGAAGACAAGACGAGGCCGTCGGGCGAGATTAATCGACTATAGTGCTGCAGTAATTAGTGTCATAACAGTGAATGAATGTTTCTATTTGAGTATATAGTGTCGCACGCAGCAAGTGCACGGATATATATTTACACATGACGATATTGTGGATGTGACCAAAGAAAAGCTAACGATACATTCATGCAATCAGCCCCACAAAGTCTTGAGGGAGACATCCGCGTCAGATTTCATTAGTTTCACAACAATTCACACGTCCAACAAACCAAAAGTCTTACCAATAAAACTGTGTCTGAACCAGTGTCTGGCAGACTGTATAATACCATATCGGAACAAGAGACTGACGGACTGCATATAAAACTGTGTCTGAACCAGTGTCTGGCAGACTGTATAATACCATATCGGAACAAGAGACTGACGGACTGCATATAAAACTGTGTCTGAACCAGGGTCTGACAGACTGTATAATTCTATATCGGAACAAGAGACTGACGGACTGCATATAAAACTGTGTCTGAACCAGCTTCTGACAGACTGTATAATACCATATCGTAACAACAGACTGACGGACTGCATATAAAACTGTGTCTGAACCAGGGTCTGACAGACTGTATAATACCATATCGGAACAAGAGACTGACGGACTGCATACAAAACTGAGTCTGAACCAGTGTCTGACAGACTGTATAATACCATATCGTAACAACAGACTGACGGACTGCATATCGACTGTGTCTGAACCAGTGTCTGGCAGACTGTATAATTCTATATCGGAACAAGGGACTGACGGACTGCATATAAAACTGTGTCTGAACCAGGGTCTGACAGACTGTATAATACCATATCGGAACAAGAGACTGACGGACTGCATATACATCTGTGTCTGAACCAGGGTCTGACAGACTGTATAATTCTATATCGGAACAAGAGACTGACGGACTGCATATAAAACTGTGTCTGAACCAGTGTCTGGCAGACTGTATAATTCTATATCGGAACAAGAGACTGACGAACTGCATATAAAACTGTGTCTGAACCAGAGTCTGGCAAACTGTATAATACCATATCGGAACAGGAGACTGACGGACTGCATATAAAACTGTGTCTGAACCAGGGTCTGGCAGACTGTATAATTCTATATCGGAACAAGAGACTGACGGACTGCATATAAAACTGTGTCTGAACCAGTGTCTGGCAGACTGTATAATACCATATCGGAACAAGAGACTGACGGACTGCATATTAAACTATGTCTGAACCAGGGTCTGGCAGACTGTATAATACCATATCGGAACAACAGACTGACGGGCTGGATATAAAACTGTGTCTGAACCAGGGTCTGACAGACTGTATAATACCATATCGGAACAAGAGACTGACGGACTGCATATAAAACTGTGTCTGAACCAGTGTCTGGCAGACTGTATAATTCTATATCGGAACAAGAGACTGACGGACTGCATATAAAACTGTGTCTGAACCAGTGTCTGGCAGACTGTATAATACCATATCGGAACAAGAGACTGACGGACTGCATATAAAACTATGTCTGAACCAGGGTCTGGCAGACTGTATAATACCATATCGGAACAACAGACTGACGGGCTGGATATAAAACTGTGTCTGAACCAGGGTCGATCAGACTGTATAATTCTATATCGGAACAAGAGACTGACGGACTGCATATAAAACTGTGTCTGAACCAGTGTCTGGCAGACTGTATAATACCATATCGGAACAAGAGACTGACGGACTGCATATAAAACTGTGTCTGAACCAGTGTCTGGGAGACTGTATAATTCTATATCGGAACAAGAGACTGACGGACTGCATATAAAACTGTGTCTGAACCAGAGTCTGGCAGACTGTATAATACCATATCGGAACAAGAGACTGACGGACTGCATATAAAACTGTGTCTGAACCAGTGTCTGGCAGACTGTATAATTCTATATCGGAACAAGAAACTGACGGACTGCATATAAAACTGTGTCTGAACCAGTGTCTGACAGACTGTATAATTCTATATCGGAACAAGGGACTGACGGACTGCATATAAAACTGTGTCTGAACCAGTGTCTGGCAGACTGTATAATACCATATCGGAACAAGAGACTGACGGACTGCATATAAAACTATGTCTGAACCAGGGTCTGGCAGACTGTATAATACCATATCGGAACAACAGACTGACGGGCTGGATATAAAACTGTGTCTGAACCAGGGTCTGACTGACTGTATAATTCTATATCGGAACAAGAGACTGACGGACTGCATATAAAACTGTGTCTGAACCAGCTTCTGACAGACTGTATAATTCTATATCGGAACAAGAGACTGACGGACTACATATAAAACTGTGTCTGAACCAGGTTCTGACAGACTGTATAATTCTATATCGGAACAAGAGACTGACGGACTGCATATAAAACTGTGTCTGAACCAGGGTCTGGCAGACTGTATAATACCATATCCGAACAAGAGACTCACGGACTGCATATAAAACTGTGTCTGAACCAGTGTCTGACAGACTGTATAATTCTATATCGGAACAAGAGACTGGCGGACTGCATATAAAACTGTGTCTGAACCAGGTTTTGACAGACTGTATAATTCTATATCGGAACAAGAGACTGGCGGACTGCATATAAAACTGTGTCTGAACCAGGGTCTGACAGACTGCATAATTCTATATCGGAACAAGAGATTTGTAACATTCTGGACTTAGAATTGTGTTGATGCCATGGTTACATCACCACCTTCACATGTCATGTGGATGGTTTTGAAAGGGTAACTGTTTGTGATAATTGGATGACCATGGCAGTTTGAGTAACTCTAATGAATTCGTGTCAATTTTAATCTTTAGCAACTATCTTACCTTGCCGTTTAGTGTTGAGTGAGAGGCGGATTAAACGTGAATGCAGATATGTTTTGTGTGAAAGCAAGGCCTGCCCCCACCCCCCACCCTAGCCCCCAGCCGCTGATGCCGTGTGTCCTCGAACAATTGCTGACAACGGCTGCAGTGACGATTGCCCCTCAGAGTTGCGTGTCGAGCCTGGCTGGCCATTTGAGGGTGAAGATTAGGGGAGCATTTAAACAGGAAAGAAGCTTCAGCCCCTGACTAAGATGGCATGTGATTGAGTCGACCAGCTCCGGCCATCCCCTGCCCGACAATAGGCTTGTGTTACCCCCAGTCTCTCGCGGCCCTCATTAATTCAACTCCATGCTTGCACTGTATAAATACGCATTAGCTACAAATGCGCCTATATCCTTTCCATTACTCTGTAATGAGATCAAGTAAAGAGATCTGCGAAGCTGATTCAGGGACAATTTCGGCAATAATCAGTCTCCATTACAGCGCAGCTCCTTCTGACGCTCGCTCGACTTGCTCCGAAATGCAATAATTAAGACAACAAGTCTGATCGTTAGTCTCGTATTCTCATGGATATCGCGGCTTCCGTTGCTCTCACAAGCGCGTTTTCTAAAGCAAATTGAGTAAATTAGCCGACAGGGAAACAAACTTCTCATTCAAATGGCAAAATTGGGCTATACAGAGTCTTTTTGTTAGAAATCGAATTTGCACTTGCTCGGGCTAAATTTTGTTCTCGATTCCTGAGCTAGATTGATTTAAAAGGTTCATAATTTAGCCAATAAATTGGCTATGAATTAACGAATCAATCCAGTTTAAATCGAGAATGCCTTCAATAAACCGAAGCACAAAAGAATAACAATACTAATCTCTAGTTCTAGTCGGACATGATCGTTTAGACAATTAAATTATCATTTAAATTTGGAACTAGCATCAATTGGCCAAACCTGATTGGAAGCAGCTAACAGCTATTCTGTCGGCAGTGCGGACTGAGAGCGGCCATTCATGGCTTGTTAGTGTAACTGAGACGAGACGTGACGCGAGCACAATGGCAGACAACGGCATGATGACAAGAATAAAGAAAACTGATTTCAAGAAACTTTCATCTTTATTCACAAACCACATTGTGTGTCACGTGATATGACCACGTGTCGTAACAGAAGAAACTCATGTGTTTGGCTTTCTTTGTGAGGCACACATGCGATCTCCCCACGTGACTTCCGCTGTCGCCTGGCGTAGTAATTCCTTGTTCTTACAATATAAATAAACACATTTTAGGTAAACGAACATTTAAGGACCATGTTTAAACGTTGCCGTGTGGTAAGTGTTTGGTCTGTACATTGAAGCAGGCAGTGGAAGGCTCTGTAAATCTCAACAGAAAATAGTCGTGGTTTCATGGAAATTATTAATACTGAACATAACGTCAATATATTATACGTACTTTTCAATTACGCATAAATAGTGTGTGCATATAAATACAGCGTTCCTCTCGGATATATACATCGAGTCTCCCACTAACGTGTAAACACAATGATTCCGTCAGCAGCACCCTGTCCGTGCAGCCAAGTCTTTAGTCGACAGGAATATTACCTGTATAAACCGGACAGGTCCCTGGAGATTCGCTGCATGTAACTGACAAGTACCCCGGAATAAGTGTTGACCAGGATGTCCCTGGCAGCACACCAACTGTCTGTGGCCACTGGTACACCGCCTTGTACATAAGACTTCACGTGTACGTCCAGCTAAACGACTGATCGTCAGTTCGTGCAGAGGTTCCTCATGACGTTGGAACAACGTGAAGACACCAGGGCGAAGTTTGCTGCAGCTTCCAATGATCCGAGCGAAGAACATGAAACGTAACGTTGTAGTTCAGTAAACTCCTCTGTTGCCAGGGAAACTGTAAGTGTTTCAATGGATGGCTAATATTTTCTTCAGCACTTTAAGGTCAAGGTCAGTATCCCTGCACTTAAGGTCAAGGTTAATATCCCTGCACTGAAGGTCAAGGTCATTTTCCCTGCACTAAAGGTCATGGATCGACCTGTGTCTGTATCACAGCTACCCGTATTGGGAATGTGACAAGTCTTCTGGCTGCTTCCGGTTAGTGAGGTGGGGGTAGATGGCTCACGTGTTGCTGCAGTCCATGGATGAGCATGCGCGGGATTATAGGTCTGTTGACCGGAAGGGCTCCGACGCCATGTCTGTAGTAGAGGGCGTCCATATTGGAGAGAATGGTGGACGTGTGAGGGTAGGAGGACCAGTAGGGACTAGACTGGAGCATGCGCTGTACGGCGGCATAGTTGCCAGCTTCCGCCAGGAGTTCCAGGCCGACGGCTGTCTGTCGCTTCCACTTGGTTCTGGAATCAGATGACAGACAGTTTTAAACTCAGTACATGGCATACGTTAGATACATAGTGCAGGGTTCAACTAAACACACAGTATACATCACACCCAGGGGACAGTGTTAAACTCAACACACAGTATACATCACACCCAGGGGACAGTGTTAAACTGAACATACGACATACGTCACACACAGAACCGTGTTAAACTCAGTACATGGCATACGTCACACACAGAGGACCGTGTTAAACTCAGTACATGGCATACGTCACACACAGAGGACCGTGTTAAACTCAGTACATGGCATACGTCACACACAGTATACGTCACACACAGTTTACCTCACACACAGTATACCTCACACACAGAGGACCGTATTAAACTCAGCACACAGTTTACGCCACACACAAAGGACAGCGTTAAACTCAGTGCACAGCAAACATTACACAAAAAGGACAATGTTAAGTTCATTCCACGGCATATCTCAGTTACAAAGGACAAATAATTTCAGAAGATGCTATTTGTCAGACACTTGGTGCAGTGGTACCTATCTGTTAGACTAACGCTTAGTCTCTGAATATATACTATAGTAGTATTGATAGTAACAAATAAACCCATTTAAACTGAAAAGGAGCCAGAAATCAGATGGGAAATTCAGAACTGAGGCAATGTAGATGTTTCATTTAGGGCTTTAGCATTGCAGGTAGGGCTAGGCAGTAGGGGAAATAATGTGTTTCAGGGACTGTGAGAGAGACTACCTGTCTGTTTGTTAGATGGTTTACCCCGTACATTGCCGTCTCCACTTCATTGTCCGGGTGTAATAGCTACCTATTAGTCTGACTCTATGGATTATGTAAATGAGGGGACACTGACACACTATTTACACGTAATTTGTCAGTAGTGTGATGTACGCGCGGTGAGACGATACCTTAGCACCTATTTATATTCCAACTGTATATCCCCTGCTTTATTTATGTTTAATAGAAACAGTCAGCGGCGTCAGCTCCGGAAACTGCCGAAGACAAACGGTCCTTAACGAAGCCGCGACGTTTTAATGTTATGGTGATCAAGTATCGGTTTAAAGTATTCCTGGTTGTATGCAAGGCGGGTTCTGGTCATTGAGGCCGTGGTGGCGCCTGTGTTGACAGCGCCGGGAGCGAGAGAATTGAGCTCAAGACCCCAGCGGCCTCGTAATGCAGAAGCTGGCCCGTCAGATCACCAGAGTCTGCTGCGGGGCGGCAGGGCGAGAAATATCTCTTAAGGCAAGCAAACAATGTGCTAAACAACGCTACGGATGATAGAACAGCTATCACTTTCCCATTTCTCCTCATTACTTTTAATGAAGCTGATCCCTATCCCTGGTTTAGTATCGCGATCTCAGGACGACATACAAATAGCGTGACTTTCCCCTTCATTTAACGTCGCTCCCTCGTCACTGGGCGAGCGAGATGTGGCCAAATTCGCTTGTCGATGCGTGAAGATGTCATGAATTTGTTCGGGCGGCGACAAGGACGTCACAAACTGCATCTAAACACTTCACGGCAACTGTAATATGGGACTGGAGGGACGGTCTCCTCTCTCCCTGTTAGCATCATAGACATGCGGCACGGAACACACCACTTACCCACACACACCTCAACAATGGCCGACAAATACAATCTAGCGAAAAATTGAAAACTTAAACAAAAGAGACGCGATCGATGCTGCTACTTTAACAGAAAATTAATAAGTGATTGGAAACTAAACACTCACTTTTGCTGTATTGGGACAATGGCTGAGTCTGTTTTGTTGGCAACAATAGCACGTGAAGTCATTGTACTTAGTTTACAGCGAACGAATTGGAAGACTGGAAATGTGATTGGTGGCTAACGATCAGGCCTGTGTAATGTACAGACGCATTATTCTGTTCATTAGAATGTTTTTTAATTCCACTGAGAATCTAATGACGAACACTAATTTTGTCCAACAGACTTGCACATCGTCATCGTCGTCGTCTGGTTATGGTCATAGTAGTAGTAGTGGTGGTGGTAGTAATTGCAGTAGATGTAGTGGTGGTAGTAGTAGTTGCAGTAGATGTATTGGTGGTGGTGGTAGTAGTAGTTGCAGTAGATGTAGTGATGGTGGTAGTAGTAGTAGTTGCAGTAGATGTAGTGATGGTGGTGGTAGTAGTAGTTGCAGTAGATGTAGTGGTGGTGGTGGTAGTAGTAGTTGCAGTAGATGTAGTGATGGTGGTGGTAGTAGTAGTTGCAGTAGATGTAGTGATGGTGGTGGTGGTAGTAGTTGCAGTAGATGTAGTGGTGGTGGTGGTAGTAGTAGTTGCAGTAGATGTAGTGATGGTAGTAGTAGTTGCAGTAGATGTAGTGATGGTAGTAGTAGTTGCAGTAGATGTAGTGGTGGTGGTGGTAGTAGTAGTTGCAGTAGATGTAGTGGTGGTGGTGGTAGTAGTAGTTGTAGTAGATGTAGTGGTGGTGGTGGTAGTAGTAGTTGCAGTAGATGTAGTGGTGGTAGTAGTAGTTGCAGTAGATGTAGTGGTGGTAGTAGTAGTTGCAGTAGATGTAGTGGTGGTGGTGGTGGTAGTAGTTGCAGTAGATGTAGTGGTGGTGGTAGTAGTAGTTTCAGTAGTTGTAGTAGTAGTGGTAGTCGTGGTGGTGGTAGTAGTAGTTGCAGTAGATGTAGTGGTGGTAGTAGTAGTTGCAGTAGATGTAGTGGTGGTAGTAGTAGTTGCAGTAGATGTAGTGGTGGTGGTGGTGGTAGTAGTTGCAGTAGATGTAGTGGTGGTGGTAGTAGTAGTTTCAGTAGTTGTAGTAGTAGTGGTAGTCGTGGTGGTGGTAGTAGTAGTTGTAGTAGTCGCTATACATGTGCTGTTATGAATAAGATAGTCATCGTCGTTGCTGCTGTTGCCACATTGTGTAGACTACCACGCCACTCGACCAATATCATCTATGGTGGTGTTTGTGTTACCCCTGTTTGTTGACATTGCTAGTTAAAGTTGTAAACAAGTCGCCAGTCTAGCAGTAATCCCAGTGTCGCTTCTTTATCTAACAGTTGTACGTCATGAGTATTCTTACTATTATATTGCTGCTGTTTTATCATTATTTACTGATCTACATAAATGGTTGAAGCAAAGATGGTTCGGGTGATCCTGGCACCGTCATGCTGGTTATCATCAGTTCAAGACCCATGTCCACTTTTCACCCAGCCCAGACAGCGAGAGGGTTTTCTCCCAGGTAGCGCTGTCCAACCAAAACCCTTTCAGAGAATGTGTGGACACCCTTAACACTGCAGCCTTCTGTATTACCAACATGTCAGAATCAGGCGCGTAGCAAGCCAATTTTTTCGTGTAAGCCCGATAGGTTGCAAAGCTTATATTTAGATCGTATTGAGGGCTTGCCCAACCTTTTTAGCAGCAATCATGTGTAAGAACGGACATTTTTTCATAATGGTAGCTTCGCCCCTGAGAGGGCTGTGACAGTAAACTCGAATACCACACACACACACACACACACACACACACACACACACACACACATGTAAACGTGACATGTAGTAGTCTGAGTATTGTCAGTCCCACCACTGTCACAAGGAACCGATCACTCCATGTTCAAACCAATTTCATTAGTTTTATAAAAGAGAACAAGGTCAGTTAGCTTAGATCCGTCTGAGACAGCATTACGGCACTATAGCAGAGAATCTCCATGACGCCCTCCACCTATTCGGGGTCGTACCATGGATGGACCTCTGGGTCCGAGTATGCCGTATTTGTGTCAAAACTGGGCATCCACTGACAATGTGTAGGACAGGGTAATTAAATTCCATAATTACAATTTTTGATGAATAACAACTTCCTTTATTTCGTTTGGGCGCGTTTCGATACAGAGTTGGTATTCATAAAAAAATATCATGATTGTACTTCCCAACTGCGAAAATGCCCCTTTAATAAGTAAATAAATTCATTGCGTCATCATCTTTGTTGTTATTATTAGTATCATTGTTATTGCTGCTTCTGCGCCTTGTTCTGCAGAGGATAGCCCGAGTGACAAGCTGCTCGTGTACTCAACGTTCGTGCCGTGACAAGATGCATTTCACCTTTGACCTCTTGTTTTATATCCTGGAGGCAAACGTCTGTCACTCCAGGGTTTTAACACGCTCTCTCTACCCGCCCCACCCTCAAGCAGTCCATCCTTGTACTTCATTGCTGCCTGTGTTCTCATACATGTTAAAGCAGGTTGAGAAATAGTGAGGTGCCACCCCTCCCCTAGTTCCACCCCTACCCCACCCCGACATGTCTTGTATCTGTTTATATTGCCCCATATGTCGGGCCAGGTTGTGGGGCGCTGATCACTACACGCATCAAGGGAGACAACCCATCAGTGGTCGGTGGAGCGTGGAGCAGGGGCCGGGATCGCGCATCTCAAGTCGACAAGGAGAGATGTTATCACCAGTGCATGGAATAATTAAATGCTATTACATTATCGTTAAATACTAGTCGTTAATTTTGCCAATCCCCGACCAGTGAGTGTTGGCTGTGCCGACAAACTGACTAATTTGCCCAGCAGGGGTAGAAGGGGTATGAATAAATAGTGGACGTGAAGGGCTCGTGGAAACAACAGAGGAATCGCATAGCGTTTAGAAACACGGAGAGATTCTTACAATTAGAATTGTCTGAAATGCTTAAAAGTAAATTTCCTTCTTTAACAGTTGATGTGAGGTCGTTAGAAGCAAGTGCCCGCATGTGCTGCTGGGCTTATCATCTGGCTCGACGTTTGGCCACCGAGCTCCTCCGTCACACTGGTGGTGGTGGGAGGCGAGGGGAGAGGGGAGAGGCTTGAGGCTGCGAAGATGGTATCAGTAGGGGTGTGGGATGTGGGGGCTGCGGTGTGGGGTGATCTCCTATACACATACTGAACTGAGCCCACGTACACACTAACAGCCTACTGCACTCACTCTACATACACACCAACAGCCTAGTACACTCAGTCTACATACACACACCAGGCTACTGCACTCAATCCACGTACCCACCAACAGCTTACTACACTGAATCCACGTCCCCACCAACAGCCTACTGCACTCAATCCACATACACACCAACAGCTTACTACACTGAATCCTCGTACCCACCAACAGCCTACTGCACTCAATCCACGTACACACCAACAGCCTACTGCACTCAATCCACGTACCCACCAAAAGCCTACTGCACTCAATCCATGGACCCACACCAGCCTACTGCACTCAATCCACGTACCCACCAACAGCCTACTGCACTCAATCCATGGACCCACACCAGCCTACTGCACTCAATCCATGTACCCACCAACAGCCTACTGCACTCAATCCACATACACACCAACAGCCTACTGCACTCAATCCACATACACACCAACAGCTTACTACACTCAATCCACGTACCCACCAACAGCCTACTGCACTCAATCCACATACACACCAACAGCTTACTACACTCAATCCACGTACCCACCAACAGCCTACTGCGCTCAATCCACGTACACACCAACAGCCTACTGCGCTCAATCTACGTACACACCAACAGCCTACTGCGCTCAATCTACGTACACACCAACAGCCTACTGCGCTCAATCTACGTACACACCAACAGCCTACTACACCAACAGCCTACTGCGCTCAATCTACGTACACACCAACAGCCTACTGCGCTCAATCTACGTACACGCCTCGGCAACCAATGTTACACTCATTAATGTAACTCACATTATTTATATTATAGGGTATCAGCGGGTAGACGGGTATCATGGAGTATAGTCCACTCGAACTGATTCACCCGGGCTGTGGGGTGTCGGGGCTGTCGCCGCTGCAGCTTGAGGGGAGGGGGGAAAGCGACAGGGGAGACAGGGAGGTTGGGGGACGGTTAAGTGTGAAGCTACTTGAGTCCGTCAAGGGGATATATATATATTAGAGTACAACTGAGAGCTGTATAGGTGTTTAACACCGTGTGTATCTCCGAGGGTACCACACATGACGCTATCTTTGCTAAACGAGACCGCCTATTTAAACAGAATGTTTTCCCTCGGTCTTTATGTAGCATCAAAGATGGTGCATCTGTGGAATAACATTAAGCCTGCTCTCTTCGCTGGCTCGACACGGCTGCAATGGGGACACTTTTCTCCCCTACAAATAGTAAGCTAAGTCAATATTGGAGGTAACATAACGTCTAAACCGTGATTAAACCTCCCGATTGTCTGAAGGAGACTTCAGTAACTGTCTCGCCACAGGCAACACATGGCTCTCACTGTTCCTGGCCGGGGAACACCTAGACCGATCTTAAGATGATGAAAATATTTATCCACATGCCCCTGCATATATTGCTGCCAGCACTCCAGCTTAGGGGAACACCTGGTCCACAGTCACGTGATTAACTCGCCACGTCTCTGTACAGCATCGTCATCATAATTATCATAATCATCATAATAATCATTTCCATCATTAGGTCGCCCGGGTGAGAAGAGCGCGGAGAGTGGTTGGCTGATTTCTCACGACGCTCGTGTCGCATGTTGGATCATGTATTTAACATGCTCTCCACAGTGTGGTCATCATTGTTATGATCATTATGATTATACTTGTTAAAGTGGTAATACAGGAATTATTTGAATAGTATATTGGGTGTTCTAGCATGCCCTTCACAATGTTGTCATAAATATTTTCAGATTAGGATTCAGTTATAAGCGAAAACGGCAGTTCGAACGACACATGCACGGTCAGGCTGGTTAGGCTAATTATTATTATTGTATTATTATTATTTGAATAATATTATCATTTGAGTGAGTGAGTCGAGTTTTACGCCGCCTTCAGCAATATTCCAGCAATATCACGGCGGGGGACACCAGAAATGGGCATTTTATAATTTGAATAGTATGCTAGGTGTATACGGGTTTATTATGTGAACAGGGGGCGGTGGGGTAGCCTAGTGGTTAAAGCGTTTGCTCGTCAAGCCGAAGGCCCGGGTTCGATTCCCCACATGGGTACAATTTGTGAAGCCCATTTCTGGTGTCCCCCGCCGTGATATTGCTGAAATATTGCTAAAAACGGCGTAAAACCATACTCAGTCAGTCAGTCAGTATTATGTGAACAACGGTTTGCATTGCTCCCAATTTTCTACCGTCAGTGGAAAATATTCGTGGTGGTGCGTATCCGCCAACATGCACATGCCTCACCTCACACAGAGTGAGGTTGTGATAAGTTGTAGCTACGGTATGTATCAACGTCACAGGTATGGGATCCACTGTCTCGCCCACCGGGGAAATGGGGGCCTATAAGCTGAGATATGTCTCGTCTATACTGTCACAGTGAGAGTGTTCTGAGCTGAGATATGTCTCGTCCACAGTCACAGTGAGAGTGTTCTGAGCTGAGATATGTCTCGTCCACAGTCACAGTGAGAGAAGTGTTCTAAGCTGAGATATGTCTCGTCTACAGGGGAGAGTGTTCTGAGCTGGGGTCTCTCTTACAGTCAAGCTGAGCTGAGATATGTCTCGTCCACAGTCACAGTGAGAGTGTTCTAAGCTGAGATATGTCTCGTCCCACAGTCACATGAGAGTGCCTCTAAGCTGAGATATGTCTCGTCCACAGTCACAGTGAGAGTGTTCTAAGCTGAGATATGTCTCGTCCACAGTCAAAGTGAGAGTGTTTTAAGCTGAGATATGTCTCGTCCACAGTCACAATGAGAGTGTTCTAAGCTGAGATATGTCTCGCCCACCGGGGAAATGGGGGCCTATAAGATGAGATATGTCTCGTCCACAGTCACAGTGAGAGTGTTCTAAGCTGATATATGTGTCTGTCACGGGGGGAATGGGGGCCTTTAAGCTGAGATATGTCTCTCCCACATGTCCAGTCACAGTGAGAGAACTCTGAACTTTGTCTCACCTTCTGTTCTGGTACCACGTCTTCACCTGGGTGTCCGTGAGGTTGAGTTTGGCCGCCAGTTCCATCCTGTCCTGGACACTGAGGTATTTCTGTCTCTCAAAGCTTTTCTCCAGACAGCTCAGCTGGTGGTCAGTGAAAGCCGTGCGGGCCTTGCGGGGCTTCTTGGACTTGGAGGGGCAGTTAGGGTTGTCGTGGGCGTGGTCGTGGCACCCCGAAGCGTCCGTCTCGTGCAATGCTGGAACAGACATGTTACTCAGTCAGTGGAAAACTAAACATGGAACACAAATATTTTGTATCATATAACTTCAAAAACATCTGATCTGGTTTTACAAATGTTGAGATGCAGTACTTTTAAACTTTCTGTCGAATACTGAAGTCCAATGTATATATTATGTGACTTCTTTGAGTGGCATTATAGAAGTTGGGAAGTACAATATAGAACAAACTTTATGGATAACAACTTCTTTTTATTCGTGAGTGCGACGTTTCGACACAGATTCTTGTACCGTTGTCAAGCATAATGGAACATGAAGAAGGGGGAAGTATATATATACTGGATGTAACAATGTAACAAAGAAAACAACATAATTAACATAATTGGCCAGGCAGAAAGCTGATGAAGCCAGAGAGTAAACAAAGGACAGGCATGGAAGCCTGTATCGAAACGTCACACTCACGAATAAAAAGAAGTTGTTATCCATAAATTTGTTCTATGTTGTAATTATGTGTACGAATATATTTATTTTATATCAATAAATATATATATGCCTGTATATATTTATGTATGCATGTAAGAACCCCTGATCCTATCTATTGTTAAAATGTCCTGGGCATTTATTTATTGTGTATTTATACGTATGTGGGTGGGTTTTATTAAGAAATAAGTCCAGCGAATCCATAGGAGGCAGTCTGTTTTAACACCCGCTCATCATAGAGTCGGAATGGTTATACCTGATGCTAATTCCTTGTTAAGGAACTTTATAAATTTATCTGACATTAGAACGTCTCTGGGCGGCATGGTTATTGTTGTGCGTTAACGTCCTGATGTTTCGTGGTGTGGGGAAGGGAGGTTTGTTGAAACAGACAAATAATGTTATAACACACATGTCATTTATGGCAAGATACTGAAAGACATGAGCGGCCTGTGTGGCCAGGTAAAAACTCAATAAGTAAAACTGAAAACAAAATCACTTCATTCCATATATTACAGTTCAAATAAAGCTTTAACAAATCAAACAGTGTCTTCCCGATCGTAGAATAAATTGATCAGAATTTTTTTTAAATAGTGGTCGCCGACCAGCGTAATATATTGAAGCAGGATGGACGGATCCAGTGAATATTTATCTCACAACAGAGCAGGTGTTTATCAAGTTAGGATGTTAGATACAAATACAGTGTTTAGATGTCAGCAGCTTCATCACCAGTCAATAGTTTCAATTTACAGCCACGATGTTTGTATAAATATACATTACTCATTTAAGGTTTGACCCACACGCCCTACCCTACACGCCCTGCCCTCAAGCTGGTTCACATGAACACAGTAACACGCTCCATCAAGACAATGGTAACTCGTTGATACTAACACACCGCCAACTTGATGTGTAGTGAGGGGTGGGGGGTGGGGGGTAGTCTGTCGTACAGACCCTGAAGCAAATATATCCAAGAAAGCCCACGCAAGTCTAGAAAATGTGGCAAGTCTAGATTTCCTCAGCTTCTGAAAATGAAGAAAGTATCAGGGCTCCTTTTCATTATATTTTATTTTTTTAACTATGAACTTTTTTCAGTAAAATATGTTCATTTCAGAGACTAGTTGTTAGTCTATGAGGGGGGTGGAGACCGGCGAGTCTGGGAGTTTGTATTGCGATAAGATAGTCTTTCTTCTACAGCTGCAAAAACAATTACGTTTTCTAATTAAAACTGTGACCCGATTTTTTAAAATAAATACCTCTTGCAACTATGTACATTATAACAGTTAATTTCTTTTCTTCAACTGTCTGCAGCCTAAGTATTTTTTCAAACATTTTCTGGAACAATTTTGTTCCATAAAAATCACTAATTTATTGCGATATATGTCGTAACTGGTTCGGTTTAACAAATTATTATTCCAGTACTAAAGTTTTAAGTCTGGGTGGCACAAGAAATCGTAGACTATATTGCTGAAGTATGGTGTATAAAAGTCATTTCATCTTGCTTGTGTACACCTCTCCACTGCGGGGAAATGTCGCTAAGCTCGGATGTTTGAAGGCTTTGCTAAACATGGGATTGTAGATTGTAGCACTTTCCAGTTGTCTGTAAATTCCTATTTATGTAAACAAGACCAATATAATTCCAAATATTCTGTAGAAACTAATACTAGTATTCGTTTCATGTTTAGAAAAGGATCCATAAAATAAATTCAAGCAGATGCTAAAATATTTGTTAAGACAATACTTCTGGACATATATTTGACGAAAACTGTTCTTTTAATCATTTTCGAAAACAAATTATTTCTTCCAAATATCCGCGAGAAGAAAGATTTCTCAGTTACTTCTTGTACTAGTACTATGTAATACTGACGTCCTTACACGACCGTCCCTGCTGCTGTAGGCATGTGTGGAATGATGGTTTATAGGGGTGGGTATTGCAGGGAATTTTCATATTGCGATATATTGCATGAAGTATTTTTAAACAAAAAAGTACTTATAATCGAGTTAATGCTTGATTTATAGAGCAAAAACACAACCAAATTACCATGCTTGATTCAGCTTTAATAACAACTTTTATTCATGATAAAATAAAAATGTGAATAATATTTGACACAAATGAAAAAAGGAAATTCCCGAAGATTTCCAAGTGTTACGAAGTTTTCCGATTGCAAGTCAAAATACCGGTTTTCGATCAGCGTATCGCAATACGTATCGTTTTCATGTCTGAACCGGTAAATACCGGTAAACCGGTTATATTGCGCAGCCCTATTGGTTTACAGACTAAGAAGGGGGCGTATAGGGGAACCTGATAAAACATCTATGTTCTGAGACGAGTTACTGTTAAACAGACTTTCAACCCACTTGCCTCAGTCAACCACCTTGGCTTACACAAAGTGCTCGTGTTACAAATATACGGTCACCTGGTGATGGAAGTGGTGATACTGAACAGTAACCTGCATGCTCGTGGTGTGGATGTCGAAGGACGAACTATTTTCATGACTTCAAGATTGATCCTTGAGAGGATGCACCCAAATGATAATGTCCCACCACATCACTGACGACACCACTGGCCATATGCCTACAGGGGAGGTAGGGGTGACGACAATGCGAGGTACGCATCCACCCGGATGTATTGAAGGGGACCCGTGAAGATCCGGGTTAGAACTGGTCTTCAGCAACCCATGCTTGTCGTAAGAGGCGACTAACGGGATCGGGTGGTCAGGCTCGCTGACTTGGTTGACACATGTCATCGGTTCCCATTTGCGTAGATCGATGCTCATGCTGTTGATCACTGGATTGTCTGGTCCAGACTCGATTATTTACAGACCGCCGCCATCTAGCTGGAATATTGCTGATTGTGGCGTAAAACTAAACTCACTATTGAAGGTCGTGTATCCTGTCAACGTCGTTGTACTCGGGATAAACATCGCCCATAACAGCACCTGACCCTGTATCTGCTTACTGCCTTCTACTGCCGTGTTGCGTTAATGGTAATATTTGCAATTGTACCAGGAGCTCTGAAGGAAATTAAATCCATATCAACTGTGTCTGTTTATAGTCTCATTAGTTTAACGGCCTCTAATTGGTGTGGTCGTAACGATAAACAGATTCACCAGTCACACCTGAACACGACACCTGTCCAGTAATTAACACACCTGTCAGAGAGCTAGTCCAGGTAAAGGGATCCCTCTGCCGTCATCGAGGCACACAACGCAGCGCAATGAGGGAAGCGGGGAGACCTCTTACACCACAAAGAGATTCACGGATTATCGGGTTTAGGCGATTAGCTGCACACCGTGTGGCGAGTCGATCTGGGGCGACTTCTTTCAACTGTTCTCGTACTTCTACTCAACTTATCTGATTTCATCGTTGTAGATGGCTGGGATAGCGAGTCAAAGGCGGGAGGGTAGTTAAAGACAGCATTTAACGCGCTGACAAAACGTTTTACACAGATCCGATTACATGTTTAGGAGGTAATAGACATTTAAATTTGGAAAGATAACAGGTTTCGAGTTCTATCCTATTTTCATGCACGTTAGCGGCCGGTGGAGAGTGGAGAGTTTGGAGCCGCGCTGTCTTGTCCTCAAGATAACGCTTAACAAAACTCATTGTGCAGGCTGTAGTCGACTATATCTGCCCGCATCTCTCGTGTTGCCAGCAATTAGAAGACTTGAGAACAAAGCCCTCACATACTGTCTACACCCACAGCCCGCCAATATTTCAACACGGACAATAAGGAAGACTTAGTAGAAATTGTTGACATTTCTGAGGAAAGTGAGTCAACGCAAGTGATACGGCATGTCATGGTCAAAACCTTATCACGCGTATCACTAGTATTACTGCCCACAATCAGCAAGAATTAGCAATACCTATGAGGACCACGCGACGTCAGGTTTCCAACATCCTTATTGAGTTTGGCCACGCCCGATACAGCACCCACAAACACCGGAATGGGATACGTATTCCGTCATTGTGGGGACTGAACAAGTACGTTATTGTTGCAGCCCACAGGGTGCATCCTTCCACGTGTAAATGTAACTGCTTATCAATAGATTTATGAAAAATATGAAAACATTGTAAGCTAAAATGGACAAAGGATTTCGATATTTCGACAAATTAGTACCAATCTAATTTCAAGTTATCACTATGTGGACAAACTGGTACCAATATCATCACTTGCTTCTATGTGTGGACATACTAGGACCAATATATGTGTGGACAAAGTTGTACCGACATCATCACTTGCATCTGTATGTGGACAAAGTTGTACAAATATCATCACTTGTATCTATGTGTGGACAAAGTTGTACAAATATCATCACCTGTATCTATGTGTGGACAAAGTTGTACCAATATCATCACTTGTATCTATGTGTGAACAAAGTTGTACCAATATCATCACTTGTATCTATATGTGGACAAGTTGTACCCATATCATCACTTGTATCTATATGTAGACAAAGTTGTACAAATATCATCACTTGTATCTATATGTGGACAAAGTTGTACCAATATCATCACTTGTATCTATGTGTGGATAAACTGGTAC